AGTATTACTATAGCCATGTTTACAGGACTCTTCTTGGTTTGTAACATCCCTCTCTTCATCAACCTCATGCACAACATGACGACCCGTTTCTTCGGGGTGAAGTACCCCGGGGTTTACTTCAGTACTCGCTTCATGTTCTGGTACTCCTGGCACATTGCCAAGATGGAGAGTGTTGTGGTGAACGCTTCACTGAACCCTATACTGTATTACTGTCGGATGAAGCGGTTCAGAACTTGGTGCAACCACGTGATCAACTGTAAGTCTTTCAGACCAGACGAGTTGAGTGAGAGTTATACAAGAAGGTTCACTGCAATGCAGGGTAGTAAAGCTAGTAGCAGGCTACAGATGGTGTGCAGTGCTGTTAAGGTGGTTAAACATTTGAGGATAGAGTCCAGGGAAAACGAACATTACAACAGTATAGTAGGGGCTCAGTGTTTCAGACTTGGGGAGGGAGAGGAGGGCTTGCCTCCAGTGGCGGGTGATGGTCACGTGGTCAGTGTTTTGTAATCACGTGGTTAGTGTTTTGTAATCACGTGGCCAGTGTTTTGTAATCACGTGGCCAGTGTTTTGTAATCACGTGGTCAGTGTTTTGTAATCACGTGGCCAGTGTTTTGTAATCACGTGGTCAGTGTTTTGTAATCACGTGGCCAGTGTTTTGTAATCACGTGGCCAGTGTTTTGTAATCACGTGGCCAGTGTTTTGTAATCACGTGGCCAGTGTTTTGTAATCACGTGGCCAGTGTTTTGTAATCACGTGGTCAGTGTTTTGTAATCACGTGGTCAGTGGTTTGTAATCACGTGGCCAGTGTTTTGTAATCACGTGGCCAGTGTTTTGTAATCACGTGGCCAGTGTTTTGTAATCACGTGGCCAGTGTTTTGTAATCACGTGGCCAGTGTTTTGTAATCACGTGGTTAGTGTTTTGTAATCACGTGGCCAGTGTTTTGTAATCACGTGGTTAGTGTTTTGTAATCACGTGGCCAGTGTTTTGTAATCACGTGGCCAGTGTTTTGTAATCACGTGGCCAGTGTTTTGTAATCACGTGGCCAGTGTTTTGTAACCACGTGGCCAGTGTTTTGTAATCACGTGGCCAGTGTTTTGTAATCACGTGGTTAGTGTTTTGTAATCACGTGGTTAGTGTTTTGTAATCACGTGGTTAGTGTTTTGTAATCACGTGGCCAGTGTTTTGTAATCACGTGGCCAGTGTTTTGTAATCACGTGGTTAGTGTTTTGTAATCACGTGGTTAGTGTTTTGTAATCACGTGGCCAGTGTTTTGTAATCACGTGGCCAGTGTTTTGTAATCACGTGGCCAGTGTTTTATAAATGTTTATATGATTAAGCTATTTTGTGTATTTGGGATATGATGTTTATTCGAACAATTGTTAATATCCAAATTATGTTCTGAGAGATTTTTTTTTTTTTTTTTTTTTTTTTTTTTAATTTTCTATATAAAATGCAACCTACTAAAACCAATGGGGCCCTCCCCGGGGTCATTACTCTCGCATTTGCGAGAGTCGTCCCTAAGGTGTGAAAGTAGGTCAAGATTTGTTCACACCAAGCCCTAGCATCGCTATTTGCTGACCATCTGCCTTCACTGAAGGTATGTTTTTAGAGAGTGGAGGCCGACCGTCAGCTTGGGATGCAGGGCCAAGCGGTCAACAACGTCAAGGCCCCCTTCCACATGGGCCATGTTGGTTTTGGCAGATACTGTGGTAATTAGATATGAAGTGAATGAGTGAAATGAAGTGATTGAAAAGGGTGTAAAAGAGGAAGAGCTTGTAAGGTAGTTTAGGAATGGAAGGAAGCAGGGCATGTACTACAAAAAAACAGTTAGTAGTACTGTAGGATAGTAACAATAACCATTGATAATAAATAACAAAGACAGCAATATAAATGGGGTGGACAATTTGCCCTAATCGGCCAAGATCGACACAATAGAACTTTTGTGGCCTATTTTGTCACCAGTAAGTGAAAGTTAAAGAAGTTTGATATATCCCTGCCAGATCGGCATGTCCCCTGCCTGAAATCTTTTGCTAATGTACCATTTGGCAACAATATTAAAATAATTTATAATTTGTGAAGTGTGATTACAAACTATAAAATTAATTTTATTGGGGTCTTTGTAATTTCTATCGATTTTCCTTTTTATAAAGTCTTCAAGTATTGTGATGAAGCTATTTGTGTGGATACAATGGAGATAGATATGAGGGATTGTTTCTAAGTATGTGTTACACAGGCTACACATGGGAGTATCTGTAACAATTTTCATTTTGTGTCTCATGTATCTACACGTCGTGATCCTCATTAAAAGCTTGTACTGAAATTGAATCAACTTAAAATTTTTAGATACTAAGAAAAATAGGTTGCTAAGAACGACCGCCCAATCTATTGGTTGATTATTTAGGTCAATAACCCATTGACGTAATGGGGACAGCTCGTTTGGGCAGATAGAGTCGTACATTTTATCCCGAATTTTACTTCCCTTCACCTGTCCAGTAACAGAATGTAAAAATTTAAGTTTTATATTTGAGTCAACAAACTCAATATTCCTTGAGTTAATAGTGGGGCAGTTATATCTCCGTATCCCCATGATAATGTTACAGTACTCAGTTTTGGAAATAGTATTTGGAGACAACTCCCACTTGTTAATGAACATATCGTAGTTAAGGATTGTACTTTGGTCTATAGAAAGAAAATCTGAGATGTAAAATATTCCCTGTGAATGTTCTGAGAGATTGGTATGAGTGGAATGGCTGGTATGTTGGTGTGAGGTCCAATGTTACGATCCTGGTTAAGATGAACTTAAAATTTATGGTGGCTTCAAAATCGGTGCAGATTGCTATAAGAGTCATACGAAAAATGACGGGGACCAAAAATTATGGCGGACTAAGAGGATACTGCTATAGAATGTTAAGTTTCTAAAAAGGACTGATTTATCTAATTTGAATGCATTTGTCTGAACTTTTCAAGATGTTGACATTATGACATAACTAGTGTAACCCGTGCCAACGGCCGGGACAAAAGTATAAACCCGCCTATTATATTCGAAAACATGCATCACATTTTCGTAGTTAAACAGGTGCGAAAGTATGAAGTCACTCAGTCCAAACAGACCGCAATTTAATTCAGAGTGCCCCTCACGTATCTAATAGTAATACTTGATAGGGAATCTTGAGGTCTACTATCAAATTACCTAATTAGCAAATCTGTTATGAGGGAGAAAGAGCGAGAGTGGGAAAGAGGGAGAGTAGTTGAGACAGTTTAAGTATCACATTTGGGTCACAGAATGATCAATTAAATCACTTACCACCGGTCGATTTAAAAAACCTTAATCATTTGGCTTGGTCTGAGTTTTGTCGGCACTCTTATCTACCGAAAAAACCAGTCCATAACTCTAACCGTTTTCTTGATTAAGCCACTAGGAAATTACACGCGAACGAACGAACACACAACTTGAGATTATTAGTACAGATTATATGGCTTATATATATAATATGTTTTGAGAAATTTCATTTCCAACGAATGACATTTCTTATCTCCTCATAATTAATATTAAGATAGCCAGCCTGCAATCAGACTTATCAGATATCACTGATAAACGGTAATTTGTATGTTTTCCCAAATTTTTGTGACCATTGTTCATTGTTGTTTCCTGTATGCTTTATGAATCATTTTAAATCTTTTGTCCGATAAAATTGTTTTTGTTTCGGGAGCAAAACTTGCCACATAAGTCCAGAAGTGGAATATATACCGGATAATTAGGCAGGGAGCTAGGATATGGGACACACTCAACTACCGCCCTTATTCCTACTGTAAAAGTAGATGCCATGTCATTATCTCCAACTTTACAGCTGTACAGTGCAAGACTATCACTTCATTAGGCACCCTGGAGATTGCACAATTGCACTGAATATGTTGACTGTACATTTTAGGAAATGCTGGTCCCTTAAATGAAGCAGCTTAGAGAGGCTCTATAGTCTGTAGTCTACTGTGTATTTTACTAATGTAGTGTTGTTTTTATTGTATTTAGTTTGAGATCGTAACCTACATCTAGTTGTTACAGTTGTGTTATTGGGTACTCAGTATTGAGGCAACCACACCAACAAGTAAGAAAAGCTTGCATATTTCTATACAATCAATCTCTCCTGTATTTGTAGAGTGTACGACTGTGTATTTGGTTCTGTCTCTCCTGTATTTGTAGAGTGTACGACTGTGTATTTGGTTCTGTCTCTCCTGTATTTGTAGAGTGTACGACTGTGTATTTGGTTCTGTCTCTTAGCACTTTTCTATCGTTACATTCTCATTCCTTTTTCTCCGTTTTAAGATTATAGGCTCCGAACATCCAACATTACATATAAATTATACAGTCACAACTCTGCATATTGTACACTTATTTATGTAATGAATAGTCAAAATATTGCACAATTGTACACTAATTACTAATTATTTGTAATGTTAAGTCAATGAATAGGCTCGTGCAGTGTGTGAGCGTCATTCGATGAGGGTTATAGCAGATGTCTTATTAACCACCTTTTCGTACTGTTATTTGTCTTTATCAGCGGTTTCAAGTTGTGTTTGTGTTACTACTTATAATACTTAATACTGTACAGTAGATAAATGTGCCGTATAGGTTGATGTTTTTCGAGACTGTTCTCTATCTTCGCAAACCTCCTATTGTACGTGTTTATGTATTGTACGTGTTTAGATATTTTTGATTGGCCATTTTGCTCTACAGAAGCCACATTCATTTAGATAGAATTTAGAAACCCTTGTTTGATGTTTCGCAAGACAAACCCCACAGTTGGAGTTCAAAGCTTGTATTGAAACTGCCATTTTCTAAAATAACCATATTTCACAGAGAATTAAATTATACCTGCAATATTTTCCTTCCAGTGCAGAGAAGAGAGGTACTTCTAACACTCTACTTTAAGTAGTTTGCTAGTTTACACGATCAAATTAAACCTGCTGTATACTAGTAATGAGTACCCGTCCCCACAGAAAGATGTAACAAGAGCTGGTTGATGAAGTAACCTCACCTACACACACAACATGAGTGGCGGGAACTACAAGCTGATCCAGATAGGAGAGAGGGAGCAGGAGGAGAGGGAGCAGCTGCTGCCCTCTGACGAACCGAAGACACAGTGCTGCACTCCTACTCGCTTCACCATCTCAACACTGGCGGGGCTGGTGTGTCTGCTGACTGCTGTTCTCTTCTGTCTGATCAGGTGGCCCATCAGGAGACCATGGTGTGACAATATGGGGAGAGAGGGGGTGATGGAACCAGGACCACAGGACACTCTACTGGGCCTCATATCAGACATCCACCTCAACCTGCACCCTGACGAGTGTGTGGGCCAGTCCAGCAGTGAGTACGGCGTGTTCGGTTGTGACTCAACTCTGGGGCTCCTCAACCTCACTCTGAAGGACATGGTTACCAAGCTGCCGGGATCTAAAAGCAGAGTGTTGGTGATGTTAGGGGACGCTGCACAGCACCAGCCTGCTGACACCTGGGACTACAAGGTCACTCTGGACTCCATCAGCTCAGTCTTCAAACAGTTCCAACACCACTTCCCCTCCACTCCCGTGTTCCCGACTGTAGGGAACAACGACCTCCCCGCTCATAACACCGTCCCTGACATTAGCTGGTACACTTCCCTGCTGAAAATGTTCGAGCCTGCAATCACCAGGGGTCACAAAGTTACACTTCCTGATAATTTCAGGGAGATCTTCATGTACGGGGGGTACTACTCCGCATTGTTCGCAGATAAGTTCACAGTCATTTCCCTCAACACTAACCTGTTTTCTGCTAGTGTGCAGGACCGGAGCTCTCAACGAGAATACGCGGTCTCACACTTACAGTGGCTCAGCGACACTCTTGACGCAGTGACCGGCAGAGTGGTCATCATCGGCCACATTCCCCCTACCTTGTCATTGTACGCCTTGTACCACAACAAGGTGGCCAAGGTTTCCTGGAGGCTGGAATATTTCGAGAACTTCAGAGAGATCTACCGGAGACACCATGAGAAGGTTATTGCCATGTTATTTGGGCACGAGCACCAGGACACGTTTGTTGTGGAGAGGAACTCTGGCGTTGACATGGCAACCTTCACCTTCCCCAGTGTCTCCCCCATATACAGTGGCCAACCATCTTATGGCATTGCAGTCATTCAGAACCATGGTAACGAGAGGAAACTGAAGGACATCTTTACTTATCATACTTGGCTAGATTATTATACAAGACTTAGAATTGAGCCTAAATTCTTAACCTACCGGTCATTCGGACAAATCTTTCGTCTCAATGAACTTACCCCCGAGGGTCTGTTCAATAAAACTAAAAACATTATCGAGGAATCAGACGGAATGAGGTCGTTCATGGCTGTAAAGGGTAAAGTTTACCAGGAGAGAGCAGTACCCATGATTAGTCCCCATTTGTATTATTGTTATACCACCAATTTCAATATTGCGGCGTTTCGTTCAGTGTATAGAAAGTTTTGGTTACGACGGTAAACCGTACATTGTTAATTCGTGATTGTGGAAATATAATTGAGTTGATTGAGAATACTGTTTTATAACAAACTAACAACAGTTTTATATTGTCTTAATCAGCTTTTGTGATACTAGATTGTGCGAAAGTGTGAGCCCGCTCAGTCAAAACCCGCATCAGCCAGCAACAAAATTAATCCAGCAATCAAGTGAAACAAAATTATGAAACATCACCAGCGGGCAGTGAGGAGTGTGTGGCGGTTGCTCCGCCCTGCGGACCACATAAAGGCTAGCTTATATAACATCTGAACCGAAAGTAAGAGTACTTTCTTGACGAAAGTCAAATACAAGGAAATACTTTCGAGAAAACCATAGTATATAGCTAACCTTATCAGGGTAGTGTTGGTTATGTGCCTAACCTGGCGAGCACAGTGGATTTCCTTGCTGTACGGCTAGTTACACAAGGAATTGAAACTGTGGGGCTCCGTGCAGACCAACCTACCTGTGGCTAAAGCTCTAATATACAAAAAACAATACATCCGTTATCTCACAACTTCATACAATTTTGTTGAAAACCAGATATTTCAGGCTTGGTTGCCTTAAAGTGGCTTCTACGCAGTTCACTTCATAGGGCGGGTCATAACATTTTGATTGGAATAGTTTAATATCAATTTAGATGTTGAGCCGATTTATAATTAATTTAAGTTCACGTCGAATTCCGCAGGTCGGGCTACTAAAAACTTGCTCCATTTCCGAACAACTAGAGAATACGCGCGCAGCTGCGCGCGCATTGCCGTCATGGTGAGTTATGAAGTTTAGATTTAAGTAATAAAAAATTTACCGCGCCTTACATTAAGCGGATTCCATGCTGTATCCGCTTTCGGATCGTTTTGATGATTTGTGATTAGCAGCCAAACATCTGCGAATCACACCCAGCAGCTCTTAAATCATCGCTCTAAGTAGCAACCAGACAAATCTCATTTCACCCTTCACCACCAATGTCAAAACAATTACAAAAGAGGAAGCTGGCAGTTTATCAACCACAGCGTGTGCTCACCAGTCACCCCCGTCAGAGGAGTACTGAGGAATTACGTAGGAATTCTTAAAAACTGTGTAAACTGACAGACTACTTACGAAATAGAGCAGCTGGCTTGAGTACGTCATTTGGTCGGCTAGTGTACAAGTCACTCCAGCGTATGATCTTTCCAGGGGAATATAGCGGACTCTTTGTTATCCTGGCTCCCTACGAGATGAGAAGTGTGAAGGAAGCTGTTTAACGTATTATGTAATACACAAAAACTGGATTATACTTGCTTGCTGTGCAGAGTATTCTGCACAACCTAGTTCCTGGGATATTCTGGTCGCTATATGTCCACACCTTTTGCTATGATTGCACTTTTAGCTTTAATTGCACAGTATTGATGACAAGTTAAAAGCAAATAGTCCAGTTTGGACCAGGCACAACAATCTCCTTATTGCTACTTTTTGCACTATTAAGTTAACAGGGAAGGCGTGATAAACGTTGGAGAAGTAAACATCTGTTCGCTGGGAATATTTTATTGATTTTGAGTTTTGACTCTATTAAGAATGAGGAGTGAGAAGTTTCAAGAAAAGTCTGAGCCCTGATCACTGAGCCCTGATCACTGAGCCCTGATCACTGAGCCCTGAGCCCTGAGCCCTGATCACTGAGCCCTGATCACTGATCAGTAACTAACTTTTCCACTTTCACTTGCAAATATCATATCTTTAGAAGTCAGACTTAATCTAACAAATCGCAGCTGAAGTGTAGGGTGGGAGCCGTGCATTCTTCAGATACTAACCAAGCATCTAAGTTCGGCCCATAAAATGCTCATGTTGGTCCGATTAGGACCATCTAAGACGACGCAACCACAAATACAGGTTAGCGATTCCTAACTTACCAAGGTTGCTAGACACTAGTACTGATGACGTAATTAGTATTAAAATAAGCTTACCGCTGTGACAGTAGAATCCCAGATATCCAAACTATCCACCGTGCCAATAAAACTGTCACCTGATTAATTTAGTTAGTTAATATAGTTAGTTAATTAGCACAATTAGTTAGTTATTACAGGCACAAGTTAGTTATCATTAGGCATACTTAATGCCTACTTTAGCAGGCAATATAAGAACCAAATAACTCTGATTTGTACACATTAAAACCTGGATTTGTAAGATTAATAGATTTAATTAGAAGATAAGTAAACTGATAAAGTTAATACACACCTAAAGTTATTACACCCTCAAGTACCATGCCCCGAGTATCCCTACTGAAGGTATTGCCAGCTAGAACCATAGCCCCATCCACCAATACCTCGTATTGACTGTACACCAGGTTTAGGCACAGTCTGTGAGCTGAGCCGTCCTTTATTCCAAAATCTGGAATAACATTAATTGTAGAGTTTATATTTATTTTACTGTATTTGAGAATAACATAATTTGTAAATACCTGTCCCATTTCCCCCAACTCTTTATGTGACCCTATATTAAAGGCTGGACACATTGACAAGTGAAAAGATCAATTTCTATTAGGGAAATATTTTACAGGTACAAAAATCAACTTTATTATTATTCGTTTACGATTTACGGCAATTTGGTAATCGCGCTGGGCACACTTGGGGTACAGTTGGGGCACAGTTGGGGCACACTTGGGGCACAAAATTGTATTTCCTGGGGCACACTTGGGGCACACTTGGGGCACACTTGAGCACTTGGGGCCAAGTGTGTTTAGTTTACAAAAACTGTGCTTCAGGTCACTTTTTTGCCCCAACTGTGCCCCAACTGTGCCCCAACTGCTTCTGCCCCAAGTGTGCCCCAAGTGTGCCCCAAGTAACTTTTTGCCCCAACTGTGCCCCAGGAAATACAATTTTGTGCCCCAAGTGTGCCCCAAGTGTGCCCAGCGCGATTACCAAATTGCCCAATTTACATAGTATTCGTGTGTTACTAATGTGTTGCTAATCTGTTACTAATATGTTACTAATCTGTTACTAATGTGTGCTAATGGAAATGCTGTGTAAATATATACAGTATTAGATGGTCTAGAACAATTCTCCGGCTCTTTCTCAGCGGTAGATGAACAGGGAGTTTCAGGTTGTTGACAAGAATTATAGAAGGAATTTTAGAAGGAATTTTGCAGAGCTGGACATTGTGTCGTGTGCAAACACCACGTAACGGTGAAAGTGAAACGATGTATTCTGCTGTGCTATAAAACAGATAATTGCAAAGCATTCACTTTATAACATACAGAAACTCGAAGGTGTTTTTCTAAACAGACACTTCTTGATGATACGAATTTTGAACAGGCCAATGAAAATTATCTGAGTGCTCAGGTTCAAAGATATAATTTTCTCGCGACCTTTTGTCTGTTTTACTGTCAATATGTTAAACAAATGAATGCCACCAGTGAAAGCTTACAGCAGAAAAGAGTTTCACTGGGGTAGACCTTAAACAGTTTTGTGAGATGTGATTCCAAAACTTCAAACGTTTTACCCGTACAATGCTCATGTTGGTCCGATTAGGAGAATTCTGCTGGTATTAGCTGCTTTCGTCACTCAAGAAATTTAGGTATTCGAGCCTTAAGGTTCGTAACACAAAATGTAGATACAAATATTGAAAATAAAAGAGCATCCCTCCGCCTGGTTAGTTAAAGTATTCTGTGTCCAGTGGACGAAGGTTGGAGCAACTACCCAGAGTGGACGGAATGTAGCCCAAATGTATGTAGCCTGTATTATTGTGAATATCCTGAATAGTAAATCCTAGTGTTGACTGTTTTAGTGTCTAAGTTTCTCACATCAATATGACATCTTACTGAAGACTTTGAGCGCAATCCTAATAATATTGTGGGCCTAGGGCCTAGACTGAGGCCTATTCTTATCTGCAGATCAGAAAATAAGAAAACTTTTGTTTAATTCCATAAGATAGTAAGGAGTGTAGATGAAACTTACTCTCCAAATAAGACCCCCCCCCCCCTTTCCCTGGCACATTACCCCTGACAACAGTAACCAGGACTACAGACCCCCCCTTCCCTGGCACATTACCCCTGACAACAGTAACCAGGACTACAGACCCCCCCCCCCTTCCCTGGCACATCACCCCTGACAACAGTAACCAGGACTACAGACCCCCCCCCCCCCTTCCCTGGCACATTGCCCCTGACAACAGTAACCAGGACTACAGACCCCCCCTTCCCTGGCACATTACCCCTGACAACAGTAACCAGGACTACAGACCCCCCCTTCCCTGGCACATTGCCCCTGACAACAGTAACCAGGACTACAGACCCCCCCTTCCCTGGCACATTCCCCCTGACAACAGTAACCAGGACTACAGACCCCCCCCCCCTTCCCTGGCACATTGCCCCTGACAACAGTAACCAGGACTACAGACCCCCCCCCCCCTTCCCTGGCACATTACCCCTGACAACAGTAACCAGGACTACAGACCCCCCCCCCCCTTCCCTGGCACATTACCCCTGACAACAGTAACCAGGACTACAGACCCCCCTCCCCCCTTCCCTGGCACATTACCCCTGACAACAGTAACCAGGACTACAGACCCCCCCCCCCCCCCCTTCCCTGGCACATTACCCCCGACAACAGTAACCAGGACTACAGACCCCCCCCCCCCCCTTCCCTGGCACATTACCCCTGACAACAGTAACCAGGACTACAGACCCTCCCCCCCCTTCCCTGGCACATTACCCCTGACAACAGTAACCAGGACTACAGTTATTATTCACAATTAATATAACCTGTAAGATGAGTTGGAGCCCCTCCGATGACGAAGTGATCATTCTGTCCGTCTAGTACGAGCTTTAACACAACTGTGTTATCCGTCTTTACCATACTGTAAACCACGTTCTGATAATAACACAACTTCAGTATTGGTTACTATATTTTATACTTATACTCTGATGATATTCCAAAATATTTTAACATTGAACTAATCAAAAGTGGTCTGGCAATTGAAAGAATGCGTTTACCTTTCCTTGGTATTTCGTTGTAATCCAAGCACAAACTGAACCGCTGTCAAACTGCTGAGTCTCCTCAATCTTGTACACGAGGGTGTCGTTTCTTTCTGGAGTGAATACCGCAGAAAATGATTCCGGGGGCACTGAAATATTTATCGATGACTCATTTGCTCAAACTTCAGTCACACAACTATTTAAACCATGTTCTCATCCTTTAATAGCTCGGATAACCGTGTATTCTAGGTCTCCCTGTATCATGAAGTTAGAAACCACATCTAGTCTACAATAGTTGTACCTTGCTTGTTATTCATACTACACACAGGGCCCAGCACGTCGTTACTCCGCTTAGTAAAGGATGTCAGGAGATGTTTGCTGCTGATTCCCAACATCTGACCGTTGAATGGAGGTATGGTTGTCTGGTGGACTGGGAAGTTATAGTCCCACTGTAGGGTCGCTAAAAGCTGTGTTATATCTGACCTGCAGGGATACGTTCTTCAGACATGATATTAATAGCTGTATACATTGTTTGATATTATGTTATTAAATTGCTAATGTTTTTAGGTAAACGAAACATAAATAAAGGGTGACAGTATTAGTGAAGGGTGATCATTATTAGAGTATACCAGGAAACGCTGAACAATTACCTTTTCTGTTATTAATTGTCACGAGAATTTATTGATTCGTTTGAATTTACGTTCATTCGTTTATAAATAAAACACATTTTTATTTCTAGAATCAGATAAAGGATAAATGTATTATTAAAACTACTTTTCTTCTTTATTTGTTAGATAGTTAGATAGATTCATAGATTGTTAACACCGGTGCTTGTGTTACAAGTATAGTTGTGTTCCACAACTATACTTCTGTATACTTCAGTGATTGGGCTGATGACTCCAGTGAAAGGGCTGGTGACTCTAGTGAAAGTGCTGGTGACGATGAGAAAGACCATAAACCAGGGATTCCTTCGGGAGCATGTAAGATTATATCCAAAGTTTGTTCGCCAATGGGGTGTGTCTGGGTGTCAAAGATCTTCAAGGTGGGTGCTACTTGTGATGAACTCTAGAAGGATGGGGTGGTAATACTCGGTCTGGCCGTCTGGAAGCCCATAGAATTACAGTTCAGAAACCGAGTAAGGAGGTGCGGCTACTGATGAGAAGCCTCCTTAAAGTTTATTTGGGTTAGAAACGACATCTGGGTCCCTACCCTCGCACAAGATTATTCTCAATTTTCTTGTTGTGTTCCACAATTAACACCGGTGCTTGTGCCTACACTTGTGACTTGCCATCCTTACACCTCACAGTCCCGAAGGACAGGGACAGGCCCCACACATCATCTTACACAGGGGCCATACCCACTTCGGCGCCCCACAACTGACACTCTTACAGAGATGAACGCGGGACAGGCTCCAGCTGCGCGCCCCACAAGCCATAGACAGCGCCTACCACGAGCTGAAGTGCTTCAGAGCAGAACAGGCTCCCGAGACGACGGCCTCCACAGGAATAACAGGCTACAAGACGGCAGCGCTGAGCCTGGAAGGCTCCAGACTACAGCGCCTCACAGGCATCACCCCACAGAGCCAGAGACGGTCAACTGCAGCGCCTCCGGACTAACACCTCAAGAGATGAGACAGCGTCCACAAGCCTGAGACAGCGCCTCCACAGAGCATGAGACAGGCCTCCCAAGCATGAGAACGCCTCTCCACAGAGACATGAGACAGCGCCTCCCACAGAGCCATGATACAGCGCCTCCCCACAGAGACATGAGACAGCGCCTCCCCACAGAGACATGAGACAGCGCCTCCCCACAGAGACATGAGACAGGCCCTCCCCACAGAGCATGAACAGCGCTCCCCACAGAGACCATGAGACAGCTCTCTCCACAGAGCCATGAGACCAGCGACTCCCCACAGAGCATGAGACAGCGCCTCCCCACAGAGCCATGAGACAGCCGGCCTCCCCACAGAGCCATGAGACAGCGCCTCCCCACAGAGCCATGAGACAGCGCCTCCCCACAGAGCCATGAGACAGCGCCTCTCCACAGAGCCATGAGACAGCGCCTCTCCACAGAGACATGAGACAGCGCCTCCCCACAGAGCCATGAGACAGCGCCTCTCCACAGAGCCATGAGAAAGCGCCTCCCCACAGAGCCATGAGACAGCGCCTCTCCACAGAGCCATGAGACAGCGCCTCCCCACAGAGCCATGAGACAGCGCCTCCCCACAGAGCCATGAGACAGCGCCTCCCCACAGAGACATGAGACAGCGCCTCCCCACAGAGCCATGAGACAGCGCCTCTCCACAGAGCCATGAGAAAGCGCCTCCCCACAGAGCCATGAGACAGCGCCTCCCCACAGAGACATGAGACAGCGCCTCCCCACAGAGACATGAGACAGCGCCTCCCCACAGAGACATGAGACAGCGCCTCCCCACAGAGCCATGAGACAGCGCCTCTCCACAGAGCCATGAGAAAGCGCCTCCCCACAGAGCCATGAGACAGCGCCTCTCCACAGAGCCATGAGACAGCGCCTCCCCACAGAGCCATGAGACAGCGCCTCCCCACAGAGCCATGAGACAGCGCCTCCCCACAGAGCCATGAGACAGCGCCTCCCCACAGAGCCATGAGACAGCGCCTCCCCACAGAGCCATGAGACAGCGCCTCCCACAGCGCCTCCCCACAGAGACATGAGACAGCGCCTCCCCACAGAGCCATGAGACAGCGCCTCCCCACAGAGACATGAGACAGCGCCTCCCCACAGAGACATGAGACAGCGCCTCCCCACAGAGCCATGAGACAGCGCCTCCCCACAGAGCCATGAGACAGCGCCTCCCCACAGAGACATGAGACAGCGCCTCCCCACAGAGCCATGAGACAGCGCCTCCCCACAGAGACATGAGACAGCGCCTCCCCACAGAGACATGAGACAGCGCCTCCCCACAGAGCCATGAGACAGCGCCTCCCCACAGAGCCATGAGACAGCGCCTCCCCACAGAGCCATGAGACAGCGCCTCCCCACAGAGCCATGAGACAGCGCCTGGATGTTTGACGCTTCATAAGGAGGCACTCTAATGTGGCCCATGATCTTAGCTCCAACAGCAGCACAAAGTGCTAGAATAAACTTCATCTTAGTGTTGAGGTTGGTCTGGAGCCTGCTTTTATAGTATGAAGGAGCCCCCCCCCCTCCCCAGCCACCCCCTACCACCAGCCATCCCTCCTACCAGCCACCTTACACATCTGTGTTAATAGGAGAGATGAGACTCACACATTGAGTTAATAAACTTAATATATTTAGAAATTAGAATAAACAGCGAGAAAATTAGAAAGAAGGAAAATTCAGATTAACTTAACATTGGTCTGAGAAATGTTAAGTAGTGTCTGGACAGAGGACACTGCAAACCCTTTCTAAGAAATGTTTAACCATCACAAAATGATAGTGATTTACCTACTGTGAAATTATAAGAACATAATTTTATTATATTATTAGGCTGCTTCACTCTCATTATGACGACGGAGCAGACTTTTACACGTGATTTTCTCCAATAAATATTAAATATAATTTTCTCCAATGTTAACGACTTAACGTACCCAGAGGTAAGAGAAGTGTATTTGCCGTCCCTGAAGACCGCTACAGGAACCAGACCGGTGTCACGTGATCTCCCCTCCTGCAACACCCCCTCCTTCAGCAGGATCCTCCGCAGCTCCAGTACCTGCAGTAGTGTTACTTAGTAGAGTGTTACTTAGTAGAGTGTGCTTGTTCTAAAGTGTTTATTGTTCCCAGCAACACGGACTGAAACGTTCCGTCACACAGTACACACACACACACCGTTCTTACACACCTCCGTGCGGTGGGTGGTCCTCACTTCTAAAATAGAATAATCTTACACGGAATCATGTCCGGGATAGTATTTCAAATGATTATGCTCATTGCTCCGGTGTCATGCTTTGATGCTATTATTACTTCTGGTACTCTTCATACACCAGTTTCTCTAACAGTCAAACCATCAAAGGACAAAGCTGAACTACCGATAAAATTGTGCGGTATTTCAATTTAATATCCTAGCTGTCAATCTCTGAAGACTGTTTCACGCGTAATAATGTCCGTATTCTGGGCTTGTACCAGTTGTATTTGAAACTCACAACTTGTTATTATACCATAATATAATATGTAAATATGCTAAAACCATATGACTCGTAGAGCATTGGGCGAGATAATAATGATACTTCATTAACAGCCCTGTCAGCATGTATGGATGGATATTGGATGCTCTTAGAAGAGTATAAACAACAATGAATGATTTGTACATTCACTTTAGTGGCGTTAGAAATGTTGAGATAGTTTAAAGCTATGGTAACGCCATGGTTAAGCTATGGTAACGCCACAATTATTTATCATACATTTAGGGATACCAACGTAAAGTCTTATAAATATAGTCAATTAAGAATCTTGTAGCTTGTGGTTTTCATAGGATTCATCAGAAAAGTGAATAAAGTAAAAAACGGAGTGTAACATATTTTAAGGGTTCACATTTCGCGACGTGTATAAGATATATTATAGATTAAAGTGAAACTGAAAATAGACTGGTAACCTGTTTCGGCGAGACAATATCGACAGGCTGAAAGTCTCGACAGAATTTGGGGATAGTTTCAGCGCTGCTGACTCCGTTTCGCTTATCTTTAACAATGAAGTACGTGTAACCTCCGCCGTCAGTGCTCATATCACAGTACACCTGGTAACACAAAGTGAAAGTTTAGGAGAAAGTGAAAGTTTAGGAGAAAGTGAAAGTGAAATAATATCTATCAGTTTCTAAATGTGAACGGGACTGCCAGTTGGAGGTATCCCTTGGTAGGGGAGCGAAGGCACCTGCTTTATCAAACTGACAGGATATTAGTTTTCATTTGGTCATAGACCAGAGCTTAGTGTTTACCATTTACTAAAATCAATGGAGCGATGATAAAATCATGAAATTGAGTGTAAATGTTTAGAAGAAAGTGAAAGTGAAAGTGAAAGCGAAAGTGAAAGTGAAACTCTTGGTCATAGACCAGAGCTTAGTGTTTACCATTTACTAAAATCAATGGAGCGATGATAAAATCATGAAATTGAGTGTAAATGTGTTAAGATTTGCGTGTGTGATAAGGAGCAATACACAGTGGAACACAGTAGGACACGCCCCAGTAAAGTCACGGTTAGAAAGGATGATTGCATCAGTTATACTGAGCTCACGCAGTTCAGGTTAATTTGCAGGCTTGCAAATTACTTGCTGCTTGCTTGTTACTTTACCTAGCTGCTAGATCAGTATCATTATTTTAATCTCCCCACTCTCTATCATGCTCATATAGAATCGGCATTCACCGTTATATTTAAATATTAAATAAACTTCATTTCCACGTGTTACTGTAGTACTAGAAATTACTAACAGTAACACTGTTATTCATTGCTAAGATTATATTATCTGGTGGTGGATTATAAAATCGCGGCACTTGAATGACTTATCTTAACTTCTCATGTCCCTCCTTAACGAACCAAACTTATCTTAAATTTAAAAGTACAGCTAATAGTTTGAGACTGATAAATAGATCAACTCTTTTCAAGCTGTGAATTAATGATCTTTTGATGCGCTCATGCAGAGAATAATCTGGATACTCAGAAAATGGTAACAATTTAATAATGATCGTGTTTTCTATGAGTTATATCACATGCATGCTGTACCACCACAATCAGTTCAACTTACAGAAACTCTAACCACTAGGAGGACCATAACACCACATAACGATAAACCTCAGCTACACATTTTATAGAATCTAAATTATTTGTTTCTTACGTTGGAGAACTTTCGACCAAATTAAGATCCAAACAAAACACTAGCAGGACAAATATCATTTAAAGTAGGGCGCATTTAAAGATACTTCTAGTTTACACGATGATTTGTAACTTAACTTGTTATGGCTACTGAACATTGTTATTACTATAATAACATAGTCACATGTGTTACAGTTATTATGATCATCTGACGACACACACGAACACGTGTGATATTTACTAGATAGTATCTAGATATGTACGTATAAGGAGTGTAATGTAGATGTTAGGGTGTTGTTAGGGTGACGGCGTGTGTAGTTAAGGTGTTGTCATGGAGACACTATTACGAGAGGAATGTGACGTATCAGATCTTATCTTTACTTTCTACAGCTTCCCTGACACAAGACCCATCTTAATTATTAATTATACAGTTTCCTTTCTTAGCAGCGCCAATCCTTTTAAAAAGTAAATTATTCTCAGGTAAGACCTACTCTGAAAAATTATTCACTTATTTGATAAAACAGTTTCATCTAAGATAATATCACCAAATTTTGGTTTCTGAGTTATGACAGTAACTGTTACACCTAAATGAAGTGCGTATATCTCACAACGTCTTCACCATAGCATTTGCGTGCTTGGTGTGCAACGTAAAGCATCATTATTCATTATATTATTATATCATTATAGGCGTGAATAACACGCTTGCTGCTCTATCTGCTATGGAAGGATTTAAACTGAATTTCACAATTTTTAGCAGTAGAAATGTGGAATAACTTAAAATGACTTATAATTTGAGTATAATATTGGGTGGAAAAATATGTCAGCACCTGGTGGACCAGTGTGACAGACCAACCGTGTAGTAATACCAGGCACATATTAATACTCCCCACGGCCCACATAATATGTTCTGAAGTGTAATCACCACTGTCCATTTGGAATGTGTGTGGAATTAGAGTGGAATGTGAGGTTGTACTTGTCGGGCCCTGCCTTTACATGGTCCTTATGTGTTTACTTAGTAAAACCTTTGATCAGTAATCAGTACTCAGTAGATGTAAGATACCCCTCCCTCTCCTCCCTCCCTAACCAGAGTAGGGTACGGGGGGAGGGGGGGGGGGGGGGGGGGGGGGGGGTGGGGGGGGGGGTGGGGGGGTACACTACACTTTTAGGGTACGGGGGTGGGGGGTACACTACACTTTTAGGGTACGGGGGTGGGGGGTACACTACACTTTTAGAGTACGGGGGTGGGGGGTACACTTCACTTTTAGGGTACGGGGGTGGGGGGTACACTACACTTTTAGAGTACGGGGGTGGGGGGTACACTTCACTTTTAGAGTACGGGGGTGGGGGGTACACTACACTTTTAGGGTACGGGGGTGGGGGGTACACTACACTTTTAGAGTACGGGGGTGGGGGGTACACTACACTTTTAGGGTACGGGGGTGGGGGGTACACTACACTTTTAGAGTACGGGGGTGGGGGGTACACTACACTTTTAGAGTACGGGGGTGGGGGGTACACTACACTTTTAGGGTACGGGGGTGGGGGTACACTACACTTTTAGGGTACGGAGGTTTACAAATTCCGCCCACAGTTTATCAGTTCTTTTTATGATGAGAGTTGTAAGAATATCATAGTTCTACTCATGACGAAAATTTGTGATATGAAGATGGTGCTTCCAATTTCAATAGTAAAAAAATGCAAATAGAAGACTACTAGAAATATTACCATAGATTTGGAGAGTGCCCCCTCCTTGGGCTGCACATAGTAGGAAGGACTGGATAATAGACTCGGGTCAGTGCTCTTCAACACTTCGCAATCTCGTTTTACTGCAAATTTCAATAATAATAATAAGTTGAAATTTAACACACCACTATTAAGATAAAACTTATATTCAGCAGTGTTAAATTTTTTCATCCCAGAAATTTACTGGAATAATCGGTAAGGACTTATGTAATGCTTGAAAATAAATCGTTTTACTTCAAATTTCAATCAGTTACTCGTTAATAGTGTTAGCTTTGAAGTTATTATAACTTTGTGAGGTTTCAAGTCGTAATATTGTAAATTATTTCCATATCGACTATCTCAAAAAATTAATGAGAGAAGTCAAAAAAATACAGAAGAATAATTACAAGAGTAGCAAGCCGAACATCATTGGATAAAAATACAACGTCATGTTGGGTAATAAATTGAGAACCATACCAGTACGCATAAGGCTTTCAAGTATCGAATTGAATTGTTTTACCCTAAGTTTTATTGTAATAAATGGCATAAAATTTATAATTAGTTGAAACAAAAGAAAGGAAGATAACTGACAGACCTTTAGCTGTTTTGCAGATAAAAGGGACCCGCTCCTCGTCAGTGACCACCAGGAAGTTGGGACCTTGTTCAGTCTGTAATAACACTCTATTCTGGTGATTATAAGAGTCTCTGTTTCCTACTCGTAACACACTTTTATCGTAGAGACTACCGTCAGGCCACCTCCAGTTGGAGTAGTCTCTGTGAAGACCCACCCAACCCGTCCTTATACCGCTCGTACTGCAATGTTTAAATAGGTTTATAAGTTATAGCAATGTTTATATGTTTATAAGTTATAGCAATGTTTATATGTTTATAAGTTATAGCAATGTTTATAGGTTTATAAGTTATAGCAATGTTTATAGGTTTATAAGTTATAGCAATGTTTATAGGTTTATAAGTTATAGCAATGTTTATAGGTTTATAAGTTATAGCAATGTTTATAGGTTTATAAGTTATAGCAATGTTTATAGGTTTATAAGTTATAGCAATGTTTATAGGTTTATAAGTTATAGCAATGTTTATAGGTTTATAAGTTATAGCAATGTTTATAGGTTTATAAGTTATAGCAATGTTTATAGGTTTATAAGTTATAGCAATGTTTATAGGTTTATAAGTTATAGCAATGTTTATAGGTTTATAAGTTATAGCAATGTTTATAGGTTTATAAGTTATAGCAATGTTTATAAATCTTTCTAAGAAGTATTTCTGAAAAAACCAAACCATCCGATCCCCACTTGCACTGCAATTTGTATAATTAACGGAAATTTTTTTGACCTGAAAGTGTTTGATGTTTATTATTTTGACCTAAAAGTGTTTGATATTTATAATTTTGACCTGAAAGTGTTTGATGTTTATTATTTTGACCTAAAAGTGTTTGGTGTTTATTATTTTGACCTAAAAGTGTTTGATGTTTATTATTTTGACCTACAATTTCAAAACACGGTGTACCACGCCCACAATTACAATCTGCTACATTAGAAGATTATTCCGCACACAAATATTAGGTGGCAAGAAATAAGGAGTTGTTGAATCAACAACTCCTTATTGTTGATGAGTTACTGAGTTCTATCTGTCTATATGACATGGCCAGCACTGAACTACCCTATAACCTTGGATCCAGTGCTCGTATTTTGAGTAATATCCACATATATTAGTGTATTTTATACGAGTTACATAATTATCAGGAGTGAAGTGAAAACATATGTTTGCAGATTGCAGAAGCCACGAAGGTGTGCCATTAAAATTGAGCTAATTATAGAAGCAGTTCAGATATGGTTGAATAAGGGAGGGCGCTTTCTGGCGCTAATTTCTCCATAATATTAACATCTCAATTAATAAAACTGAAGGAAACAGCTGCGAACTACCCATTACAAATATTAGAGATGCATTAGGAGACAAGTGACAACCGTCATATTGATCACACTAACAGAGATAGTAACACTGACTGGATGTTATGTTTGTAAAAACCCACACGCATTCTACTCAATCATTACTACACTCATTTGTATCTTTTTGAGTGAATCTTTGTAGTTTTATTTACTACATCAGCAATTACGAAGATTTTGTAATGCTTATTCGTTATTCAGTATTCACCAATCACTACCTTTTACAATTCATAAGTCATACGTTATCTGTTCATCAGTATGAAACTCTCAAAATGCACCCAAGATAATTCATTTCGCCTAAAATTTACCAGTGTGTTTCAAACTTCCTCCTCACTGGAGGTATTGGATACCGGGTGAAATGTTTAGTAAGATTAATTTGAGAGTTGTAGAACAAGTTAACAAGTTGTACCACACAGTCAGTAGAGAAATACTGGTTACATGGTTACTGGTTACTGGTTACTGGTTCCGACTGTCTCCACAAAGCCAGACTCCTACTTTCTCCGCTCTTACTGTACCAAATAGTGATAAGTAATATTGCTTCGCATAAAATATGCATTAAATCATAATTATGCTATCAAGGGGTGTTGACTATGCATCTAGATTCTATCATACATTTTTAGACAAAATGTAGCCTTGCTTTAACAGCTGGGCCATTCCATAACGTTGGCGAGCAAGGTCAATTAGTCGCACGTCTTGTTTTAGTGGCAAACTCACTGACAGTCCAATTAAAGCTAATTTAAATGGGGCATGTTTTATATGTTTGGTATAACTGTGTTTCCTCCTTGACAAGACTGTTAACTGACAGCTGTTAAATATAATACAGCTTGACTAATGTTTTTGTTAAAGTAGTAACCACACTAAAGGATTTCAGTAGCTGGGTCACATTTTAAAAGTATATTTTAAAATCTATATTGGATTCTGTTAAACATGTTAAAGATGAAAGATGTAATTCAAATTTGACAGTTTTCCTTACATCACATACTCATATTCCGATTACCGTAACAGATGATGAAATCTCATTTTGTGGTATTTTGTGGTATTTTGGGTACAAAACGACATTTCATTAATTAGAAATAACAAGGATATTTGAATTGGCTTGTAACTCACAATTAAATGAATGTAATTCCAGGAATTATACACCGCATATATATACACGGTTTACAATAAAGTGAACGCGTTTTTTAGATTAACCGTATACACTCCTCACCATGGTCACTTTAATATGTGTGTTTAGTAGATAAGACTGATTATCAATACCTTATTCTATATTTAACTTCAAATATAACCTGTTCTCGACTAAACATGTAGATAAAGCTCGTTCAATGTTAACTTGCAACAAGTATTTTATATAATACAGTATTATATATCGATACAGTTGATAAGATGAAAGGTAACCTAACCTGTAGAGTGCGAGTACATAATCCAGCTCCTTCTTATCTCCGATAGAGACAACATCGTAACCTTGACCACGACACGTGGCGTCTGCTTCAGAGTAGTTTTTAGGAGTAGTGTGGAGCACATAACTAGGAATACCTGGCAACAAACATTAATTAGTTAATTAGATCACCAGTAACCAGTTATATTATCATTTTAAATAGGAACTACAAGATTTGTCCATCAAGTAGCACAGTCCCCTCCCCTCCTCTGCCCCCTCCCCTGCCCCCTCCCCTGCCCCCCCCCTCCCCTCCCCTGGCCCCTCCTCCCTCCCCTGCCCCCCCTCCCCTCCCCTGGCCCCTCCTCCCTCCCCTGCCCCCCCTCCCCTCCCCTGGCCCCTCCTCCCTCCCCTGCCCCCCCCCCCCTACCCTGCCCCCTTTCCTGGCCGCCTTGTCAAGCACCTACCGTCATATTCACACACGTATCCGTGTTTAGTGTCGCTGTTAATGTCGACACCCTCCCAGTAGCCCCTGTCACTGATCACCACATGTTTGGACCGGCTACCACGTGGAGACAGTCTCCCGAGGTACCAGTGTGAGTAGGAGGTACTGTAACGCGCACTGTCGCTCCATCTGAACTCTCCCGGGCTCCCCCTGGTAGTAAGGTGCAGCTATTATCATTGTGTTCCGTGTACTATTACACAACTTGTATTATGATGATGTATAGATACAATAAATTTAGAAATATCTAGGTAAATTACCTGATAATGTATGATCTGAACTAGAACAACACTATCTTAATTCTCAATGTAGAGAACACTACTTACCCGTTGTAAACCAGCCCAAAGAACAAGTCAATGTCGTTGAGCCCGTAGTTGGTTACTCGGCCCTGTATCTCACTCTTAATATAATCGTTCTGTTCAGCGTTCAGTATCTTAGCCAGTCTCCCCAGCTTCATCTTACAGCTTAGGTCAGCCTCGCTCCAGGTCACTTGCTCGTAATTAAACTCGTACCGTATTCTCCCTACATTTTAACAGCTAATTTCTCGAATGATTGGAACTATCCCAACTCCGTTCAATGAAGCACATTTTCCCAGACCAATTTTTAAAACATTAATAGAGTAATTGCAGCATAATAACTTAACAAGATTTCAAAAGTATTATTATGCAGTATCTTCTACGACATAACGTGGCAACACATATTTTAACTTTTAAAACATAATTCCACTAAACTCAGAGAAGATATCACTCACCATGTGGTTCATTAAACAGACTGACAGACTGACAGCCATTGCTACTGAGAAAGGAGGGATGACAAACACAGCCACCATTATAGCACAGCCCTGTCGGACCTCCGTTTAACTGACAATCTCTGTCTTCTCCACAACCTGCAGTTGTTTTCTGGTAATATGTGAGCACTAATGTGCTACTTTATGCCAAAAACAGATTTACATATAATCATAGAATCATGATAATGATGTTTGTTGAAAAAATGGACACATGAATACAACTCAATCCCAGTGAAGTGTATTATGTAGTGTTATGTATGTGTATTATGTAGTGTTATGTATGTTATATTATGTAGCATGCCTTAGCCATCAGGAACACAGCTCTTTAAAGCAGATTACAATGCTAAACTCCCCAAAACCTGTTACAGATTTGCTATCATCTTATCATGTTATTGCATATTTTCGCCCTTTTCTTAACAGAAAAATAATTCCACAAAATAATTCTTTTAAGTTTAACCGCCAATATTTTTAAACATTTAGCAAACGCTTTGCCTGTGAAATTTATATTTATTATTATATGCTAAGATAGAATATATTAAGAATGGATTATTGGCAGTGCTTATATTTGACTGTTGTATACAAATTTATGATAACTTGAAAAATCACCAGGCTATGAAATAATGCCAAACTTGAAAACAGTAAAACAAATTGTTACCAAATCGTTTGGAAACAAACTAGTCCAATGATAAGATACTTCATTATATGCTATGGTGAACATTGAAAGCTTCAAGTTGCAGAAAAACTGCAAAAAACAAAGTTCAACAACAGCTGCTCTTAGTAACCTAGAAGAGCGATATAGTGCGACTCTTGGCAATTGAGTTTTCTCCAAAACACATCTGCTGAAGTTGTAAACCCATTGATACCAGAGAAAAATCTACTTGGATCCTCGGACAATGCCAGATAGTTTATGGAATAGATCTCTTTCCCGTTAGCATAGATGTTCACGTAAGTAGATGAGAATTCAATTTTGTAGCTGTGGCTTATTTTTGAATCACCCTTCGTAGGTTGAGGGTAAGGTTGCTCCAATGTAATTGTTACGAAACCGTCATTTGTGACTGTTTTTGACCCTAGTTTAAAAACACCATTCATTATAGCCAGTTTTTGAAATCTTGGAAGGAATCTGATAGCCAGAGTATCACTTTCAAGCAAGCCATTGTTTGTAAAGTTGAAGTATACTGTGTCAATACTGAACAGAGTCCGTTCATGGGAAGGGGCCTGTCCGGTGATAAATGAAGAATGTTTAAATAGTTCCAAGTCACAAGAAGAGTTGAAAGACACAAATCTGCTGTCATCTGGAAAGGAGTAAAGACACAAGGTTGATACCTCGCTGGAAATCATTGCCAGGCAATGATAGAAGTTGTAAATTATTATGATAGATACATTATACAGCATTAAACGATATCAACAAAATGTATATTGTGGCCAAAAATCAAAAAATTTCTGATATTCTAAAAGTTTTAAAATCACACTTACTTGTCTGACAGTGAGTGTGGAGGAAGAGCAAAGAGTAAAGCAGCAATAGTTGGCGAAAGCGGAGCAGATTAGGCATTCTATTGCTGGTTTTTAATGGTTCTCCATAGTCATCTATGAGTATCACTTGTTAAGATCCATGTTAAAACACATATATCAATAAAATTCATTTAAATTGGTCGTCCAGGAATTGGTCAAGTTCTCAAGAGGTGGTGCTTGGTATCTTTATAAGTTTTGGTATCCAGGGGAGGGTTACCCAGCTAAAATCTGGGCAAAATGATCGCGAAAGTTTGTTTTATATATTTTTATACTTATAGTTCATGAAACATTAATTATAATAGAACAGTAACAAGTGACCATTGCCATCAGACCACTATTCAGAGTGGTTTTCTAGCAACAGTTTAAACTTTAATCTCACTAGGAAATTTTTCCTAAAACTTCATTTAAAACATTCCAAAAATAATTAACTTTTAGAAATCATCTCTTTCTACCATTCTTCTAATTTAATTTATCATCCTTCTAATTTAATTTTAAAACTTAAAACCGTCTTTGAGCTCTTGACTTCGTAAGGAAGTTGGTTCTCCAGAAGAAAAGAACTATGGAGATTTTTAATTTTCGTACTAGACTTTTACTGCATCTACTGTTTGATACCAGATTAAGACTGGATTTGCTCATTCCGAACATACCCAATCCATAATCGGCCAAACTGCTGAAAATTTTGAAAGCTTGATAAGATCATCATGCATTCCCCGCTCTGCCAACGTTGTTGAATTAACTAAGGCCGCGAGGAGATAAGGACTTCTCGAGGACTACATTAAATATGATCATTACAATACAAATCTAGGAAGATGAAATGCTACATGCAACAGAGAAATTTCACTTCTGAATTAAAAAATTCACCAATTAACAAGCCAGCTAGCTTGGTAGTCACGTCCCTATTAATACTTTCAACACTACTATATAACAAATAATTTGAGGACTAGCAATGGTTATGTTAACAATGAACTAGAGACCTTGTTTGGACGATGGGGGGCTCAGGGAGGATGGATCACTGCTCCTAGAAAATGAGTTGAGTTGTCAGTTCGGTTCGTCATGTGTTCACATACCACTGGTCACTACACCTAATAAAAAACCATTGCTAGTCCAAAAAAATATATGGACACGTTCATTTGAGTTTGAGGATATTGGTAAATATAAGTGACCCTATTAAAAGGCACAGTGTAGTTGACTTTGTCACACTATGAAATTACACAAACCCTTGATGGTTAGGATAATCGTCTCATCCTCTAGGCTAACTTTGTCACATAACGATATCTTAATCAGGTGATAAGATATCGCTTAAATACGGCCGGCACGGAAATGGTTACATTGTCACACTATAAACATGTGACAGAGTAAATATGGACCCCTTGCTGCCGTTTTTGACCAAAATTTTGAGTGTCCAGTTGATTGGATGGGTACATATGACCATTACCTACATATTTTACGACTTTTTTCGTTAGTTGGTGCACTATGGTTTACTCTGTCACACATTTAAGAAAATATGTGAACAATGTTTAGGGAACCCTGATAAGCAATGCTGAGTAGTGTAGGTTTATTTAATGGCCAGGAAGTGCTAGGAATTGTTATTATATCATATAGTCGCAAGGAATTAAATTACAAAAGGCACAGACAAGTTTACTTTGTCACATAATCTTGATGATATCTGAACATGTGTGAAATTGAACAAATAATGATATACCTGCTTAAACCCTTTGTATTACGTACTATGGATCAAACAACACTGCTAGTACCATGCACCAGTCACATAAATCATTATCGGGTGGTAATATGTTAACAGTGTCACAATTAAACTACCGCAACATGGTCAAAAATAGGGTAATTTCGTCACACAAAATTATTATAACTCTGTCAGCTTCTTGCTGGCAAAATAACTAGTTTATCGAAATTTTGTTGATGATAAAGTTACATAATAGTATTCTAATAGAGGTATACTTCTTCAAAATAGGGGCAAGACATGTTTACTTTGTCACATCAGTTATTATAAGAGTTAGGTAATCGTCATCAGATTAACCAATCTTTTTCGAAGTATGGATCGATTAATATAGGCAATAAAGCATCCTAATTCCTGTGGCAATTTTAACACACTATCTTGATATTGTTGGGGCAGGAAAAGTTAATTTTGTCACATTTTCAGTGTCTTTGACAAATTAATCTAAAATTTTTAAACTTGGGCTCTGATGTTCTGGACAATATTCTACCAATCGTGAAATGTTGAATTCTAATAGAGTTATAGATCTTCAAAATAGGGGCAAGACATGTTTACTTTGTCACATCAGTTATTATTAGAGTTAGGTAATCGTCACCACATTAAAATATATTTTTTTGTAGTTTTGATTGATTTATTTAGGTAATAAAGCAGCCTATGCTAATTTTTACACACTATCTTGAAATTGTTGGGGCAGGAAAAGTTAATTTTGTCACATTTTTAGTGACTTAGACAAATTTAACCTGAAATTGTTAAACTTGAGCTCTGATGTTCTGGACAATATTCTACCAATCGTTTCTGAAAGAATGCTGAATTCTAATAGAGTTATAGATCTTCAAAATAGGAGCAAGACATGTTTACTTTGTCACATCAGTTATTATTACAGTTATGTAATCGTCATCACATTAACATATATTTTTTTGTAGTTTGGATTGATTTATTTAGGTAATAAGGCAGCCTATGCTAATTTTTACACACTATTTTGAAATTCTTTTGGGCAGGAAAAGTTAATTTTGTCACATTTTTAGTGACTTTGACAAATTTAACCTAAAATTGTTAAACTTGAGCTCTGATGTTCTGGACAATAATCTACCAATTTTTTCTGAAAGAATGTTGAATTCTAATAGAGTTATAGAATATATAGATCTTCAAAATAGGGGCAAGACATGTTTACTTTGTCACATCAGTTATTATAGGAGTTATTATAAGAGACTATTTCATTATGTAATCATTGTTTTTAACCTATTTACGATTTCGTATAATTTTTTGTGACAATGTAAACATCAACTGATCTTAACTTGCATCAACTACATTGTCATCATGTAAAGTTTTCCCGCCTTTCAAACCAAAATCAGATATAAATAATTCGCCCAAAATTTTAAATTCCATATATTGTGACAGAATTAACCTCATTTCCCAATAACCAAGTGCCTGTATTAGCTAACTATTCAAAGCAATATATTTTAGGGCTATGATTGGTACTCCGTACTTGGTAGATCAACCATCAAATAATGAGTAAAAAGGTTTTTGAGGACACCTCACAGTAGAATAGAGGTATGGTATTCTGAGTGTGACAAAGTTACCTGAATATTGCCTTGTAACCGTTCGATCCGTGCCCTTTAACCAATGTTGTATCATAATTGTTAGATTGACCTAATCTACTATGTTTCAGACCAAGGAATGATAATTAGACAACTGCAGTTAACTAAGTCACACAAAATGTGACATTTGAAACATTATAGTGCCTAACAACAATAGATTTTCTTTCTGAGCAGTGCATATGGGAGTATGGGTTACGTGGCTAATGTTCAGAACTTCTAAACGGGCTAGGTTAATAGATGTCAAAATTAAGCCACTATCGTCAAAAACGCTATTATTTTTGTTTACCAATATCCTCAAACTCAAATGAACGTGTCCATATAGTAGTGTTGAAGTATTCCAAGATAGGCATTCTCTGAATACCTGTCTCAACAAATTTTTTGTTTATTTATTTTTACTCTGAAAATTCTGCTCAAACAATTTTACCTACACACTTAACAATTTCAAACCAAATCACCCCATCCAAACCCAGTTTGTCCTGTTGCTGTTAGTGTGTCTGACCTTTGAATGATTTATAAATTTTTGAATACTTCAATCACTCTTTTGAAAGTTCTTGAAAAAATTCTATTCAATCATATTCCCACTTAACCCACCTCATATCACTCACAATGAACCGGCTGATGCTCTTCTCTTTTCAGGTGCAGGGGTCTGTCCAAGCTGGCCCCCTGGACTCCGGACATATCTCTGATATCATATCATCATGGCTACTACCTCAAGTGCTAGTACCCAAAGGCGTTCCCCTAGACACACTCCTCCTCCTACCAACCCAGGACCCAGAGCTAGCATGTCACCATCCGGCAGAGGAGCTACCTCCCAAAAGAAGAAACCTCTAGCAGACAACAAAGCCCTGCGCAGGAACAGCCCTAGCGCAATGGCCCAGAAAGCTGTGCTGGGTAAACGCCCATCAAAGTCACCCCAAGAACAACCAGAGACATCTGTTCTTAAACCTCCAGGTAATCTGGTTATTGAAAAGATCAGCCCAAACCTGATATCAGCTTTAGAATCATCGAACCTCAGAGAGAGCCCCAGCAGTCCAATGAGCCCTCTGTACAAGTCCTTTCCTCCATTCTCCCGTGCTGAAGAGTCTGCTGAAGAACTTGAAATCCAGGATAAACCTACAGTAAAACAACGGGCTTCAAAGAGTGATTGTCCTTGCCGATCAACATCAGATGGTAAGGAATGGAAGTTCAAGTGTACCAGATGTTTTCAGCACTGGCATGCTTCCTGTTGCAATCTCAAGGGTGCTAACAACATTCAGCACGATACACCTCTTGAAGCTTCTCTGAATATTATTCTCTCAGAATGGCTATGTCCATGGTGTTTCGATACATCATTCCCCAGACCAGGCTCCAGCATGTCAGCCAAGATGGACAACAACCTAAAGAGCTCTGTAGACTACAGCCAGAACATACAGGCTATATCAGATGCTATTTCTAATGCTGTTGGTAACAGTATGCCTACTGTGGAGATTGTATCCCTGGAGACAAGACTGAAGAAGCTGAGTCAAGAGATTCATGAATTTCAGCAGTCCAGAAGTCCATCTGAAGCACCACCTGCTACAGAAATCCCCCTCCCTAAATGCACAGAACCTCCAGTGTGTGATTACCTGGTCGATGTGCTAAGTGCTGAGATCCTCAAAGAAGTTACAGAGTTTCTCCTGGAGAGCCAAGCTAGTAATAAGTTCATCCCGAAGAATGGAAGACAGGTCCTCAAGTTTGGGGAAGACTACTCTTATACTGGTGATTCAGACCCACCCCTATCCCCCACAATCCCAGCACCCCTTGCCTCAGCCATAGACGCAGTTACATTTTTTTTTATTTGAAAATTCAATTAATCATTATATATATAAATCAAGCGTTACATTTCAGCCATGCAAAATTACAATGACATATTTTGATATACTAAATGGTAAATGGTACTGCAATATAAGTTGCTTAATGTTTGGCCGGATGACAACTAACGAGAAAAATAAACTTGATTATATAATAATTAATTCGGCTGAACCAACACATAGCAAGAGCCACATTAACGTTGGGGCCGTCTACCAAATTTGGATGACAAACATTAACAAGAAATCAAACATATCATAATAGTAGAGGCTCTTACGGGCAAAAAGACGTGTTTTCTGCTACGAGTTTAGAGACCTAACCGCTAATTGGACACAATAATATGATGTCTAAGGATCGATAATATGTTAAGAAGTATAAATTTGGCCTTATTAGTCACGTGCTATACCAATGCGCGTTTTAAACTTTGACAGTCTATTACTCTAAGGCAAATAGAGTAATTATATTCATATTTTGTCAGCAATAAGATCACATTATTTTCTATTTAGTGTGAAAATATGAGCTAGAACGGACATAATCTCGCTGAGTTATAGCTGTTTGAAATTTATGATGAACGCGCGGGTGCCAATTGATAACAACTAAATGCTTTTGCGCGTAGTGCGCGTCGAAAATTTGGCAAAAACGCTTGCGGAGTGAAAATATTCAAACTTCGATAAAGTATATGAAGTGGGTACTTCTCGGAAAGGAAAAATTTAGGCAAACACGATGTGACTATTTTTGGGTTGATTTAATACAACTGCAAAAAATTATTCAAACTTCAAGC